TGACTGGAAATAAACAATGGCTGATAGATTTTGACTCCAGAAGGAAGACAAAAATCAGATGTGTTGATGATAAATACTTTAATGCATAAGGTATGAGAAATGTCAAAGTTAAAGTGAAGAATGAGAAGACCGTTCTGATCAAGGATGTTTGGTAGGTTCCTGGAATTAAGAGCAATATAATGAGTGTGGGTCAGCTCATTGAGAAAGGTTTCTCAATTATTATGAAGGACAATCTCTTGAAGTTGCATGATTCTAATTAGAAGCTGATTATGCAATTAGAACAAGGAAGCAACAAGAAATTCAAGGTGAATATGGAGACAATAGAAGCAGAATGTCTTAGTTTAGAAGACGCTGAAGCTGATAATAAGTTGTGGCATAAGAGGTTGGGGCATATGAACTATAGAAGATTAAGGCATCTAAGTTCTAAGAAGCTCGTACGTGGCATTCCGAAGATTGTGAAGCCTAAGAAGTCATGTGATTTATGCATGAAAGGCAAGCAACCCAGATTGCCGTTTGTGTCAGAAGTAACCCCAAGAGCAAAACATGCTTTTGGAGTAGTGCATTCTAACGTGTGTGGACCATTTCTAGAACCTTCACTTGGAGGAGATAAATATTTTATGTGTTTTGTGGATGAGTTCACAAGAATTAAGTGGGTAACACTCATCAAGTTACAACATGAGGTGTTTACCGAGTTTTAGAAGTTCAAGATGAAGGTTGAGAAACAAAGTGGTCAGAAGCTGAAGATTCTCATAATGGTTGGTGGAGGTGATTATAACTCTACAGAATTCCAGAAGTTCTGTGATGAGAATGAAATTGAACAAGAGGTTAATGCTCCTTCCTTAACACAATGGTCTTGCTGAAAGAAGAAATTGTACTTTTCTTGATATGACCAGAAGCATGCTGAAAGAGAAGAATCTACCTCTTAACTTATAAGGAGAAGTTGTAGCCACGTAAGCATATGTGCTCAACAAGTGTTCAATGAAGAAGCTGAAGGAAATTATTCCTTTAGAAAAGTAGACTGGAGACAAGAAAAGTGTTAGTCATCTGAAAGTGTTTGGTTCTGTATGTTACAAACACGTATCAAAATCTAGAAGGAAGAAGTTGGATAACAAAAGCAAAGTAATGATTCTGGTGGGGTACCACAGTATAAGTGCATACAAGCTTTATTGTCCATAAACAAATAAAGTTGAAGTCAATAGAGATGTCATTGTAAAAGAATCGGAAGTATGGGATTGGAGCAAGTCTCAATCTATTTCTGAAGATAAGCCATAACTTGATAGTTCAGAAGAAGAGTCAGAGTCAGATGATGACTCTGGAAACTCTGAAGATATGTCAGATGGTGAATCTGATTCTGATCCAAATTTTGATGATGATCCAGAATTTGGTGGTGGTCATAATTCTGGAAGGGAAAACTCTAAAGACGTATTTTCTGGAGGACAAGCTTCTGAAGATGATCATGTTTCTGGTGAAGGTCATTGATGTTGAAGGTGGAACATCAGAAAGTAGAGGTTCTGAAGGCGATCTAACTTCTGAAGATAGTCAAGTATCTGATACTGTTCCAGAATTGGAAAGAGTTTCTGAACAAGTTCAGAGGCCACACAAAATCAGACAAATAACAAGAAGGTTTGTAGAGTTTGACATGCTGCAAGATATTGAAGTAGAATCAGAAGGTGAAATTGTTCAGTGTGCCATATTAGTAGAATCTGAACCTGTAAGTATTGAAGAAGCTCTCAAGAAGAAAGTATGATTGAATGACATAAAAGAAGAACTCAAGGCTATAGAAAGAAAGAAGACTTAGAAGTTGGCTAAGCTTCCAGATAAGAAGAAAGCTATCATCCTCATATGGGTTTTTAAGGTGAAGCTTAAGCCAGATGGATTAATTGGCAAGCACAAAGCAAGGCTAGTGGCTAGAGGTTTTCTTCAGAAACCCGAGCTAGATTAATTTGAGGTGTTTACGCCAGTAGCTAAACACGAAACAATCAGAGATGGTGATTGCTTTAGCTGCAAATAGAAATTGGCCTCTGATGCATATGGATGTGAAGTTTGCATTTCTAAATGGTCCATTACAAGAAGAGATATACGTGTCACAACCTTCTGGATTTGTAAAAATAATCAGGAAGGGATGGTGTACAAATTACATAAAGTTCTGTATGGATTGAAGCAAGCGCCTAGAGCTTGGAATTTGAAGATTAATTGATTTTTCAAGAAACAAGGTTTTTAGAAGTGTGAGATGGAGTATGACATGCATGTTCATCATTCTGAAAGAAATATGATCCTGGTATGTCTTTACGTTGATGACATATTGCTGATGGGAAGCTGTTCTAAAGAAGTTGTCAAGTTCAAGAAGACTCTGATGAATGAGTTTGAGATGACTGACCTAGGAAAGCTTGTTTACTTTCTAGGGATAAAGGTATTAATACTCTGAACAAGGTATAATTTTGCATCTGTTGAAGTATGAACTTAAGCTTCCGAAGATATTCAAGCTGGAGAATTGTAAGGTCGTTGTTACACCTTCAGAAATCAATCATAAATTGGATTCTGATTCTGAGGGTGAAGACGTAGATGTTACAATGTTCAAACAGTTGATAGATTCTCTGAGGTATCTGTGTAATACCATACCTGACATTTGTTATGCGGTTAGATTTGTTAGTAGGTTGGATTTGTTATGTGTAATACCATTACCAAGTTGTTGTTAGAATTCTGAGGTATATCAAAGAAACTCTGAAGTTTGGAGTACTATTCCCTTCTGGAAGAAAAACATATTCAAAGTTGATGAGTTATTCTGATTCTGATTGGTGTGGAGATAGAGTTTATAGAAGAAGTACTTCTGGATATTTGTTTAAGTTTTTGGAAGGTCATATTTCTTGGTGTTCCAAGAAGCAATCTATTGTTGCTTTATCAATGTGTGAAGCTGAGTACATTGCATGTGCTATAGCTACATGTCAAGCTGTGTGGCTTCTGAATTTACTGCAAAATCTGAAGATCAACATAGATAAGCCTCTAAAGCTGATGATTAATAACAAGTCTTTAATCAATCTTACCAAGAACCCGATACTACATGAGAGAAGCAAGCATATTGAGACAAAATATCATTTTCTCAGAAGTCAAGTCTAGAACAGAGTACTAGAAGTTATGCACTATAACACCAAGAAGCAGCTGACAGATAACATGACAAAAGCAATCAAGACAGATCAATTTCGTCGTTTAAGGGATGTAATTGGTGTAGTTAGTTTTAATTAAAAATTCTAAATTAAGGGGTGATATTAAAGGGTATTTTAGTATTTCTAATTGTTTTAGATAACTTAGTTATTAAGCCTATTCTATTAGGGTATACGTGACATTCTCTTTTGTGTATAAATAAACTAGTTGTAAATATCATAAACAATAACATTTATTCCTCTTGCAGTTTTACATCCATCATTCTCTTTTCTCTCTTAAATTTATTCTTTGTTCATCATTTATTCTTGTGCACTAACATATCAGATGTAGTCGGCTTATTTTCTGCAGAATCTACAGTGATAACAGAAATTGGTATTATTTTCTGCCAACGTCGTTTCTTCATTTTTTTTGTGTCATTGGTTTTCCTTTGTTCGTAATATTTCCAATGCTGAACATACACAAATAAGGCGTCGTCATCAAACATAAACAAATCACTAACACAATACTCCAGTAGAATATGCGTCATACTCCCATAAATAAAATGCAGAAAAATGCAACATTGATGTCTTTTGATGTACCTTTGATGAGTTTCCAAAAAAATACAGAAGTAGCTTTGATAACTTTGCACCCTTGTACTTGCCTGCATGTGTTTGTTGAAACCAACATCAAATAAAATTTCAGCATCACACTTTTCTTCTTCTGATGCATCCATAGCTTCCATTCGTTTGTAAACTCGTTCAAGTGCTTCACCATTGATATCATCCTGAAACATAAATTACTCAAGCATGGAGTCATATATAAAAGAAAAATAATTTGTGAGCTAATCCAGCATGAGTTTAGTATTCTGAAATGAATGATCAACATGAATTCAATGTTCAAAAAAAAATTATAACACTTTTCACAAGTACATTTCAAAGCAATATTCAAACCAATAGGAGCAAATTTGAATATGAAACGATGACTATATAGTAATAATTGTGTTATAGTCTATTAGAAAATAATTTATATCTATATTATATAAATTTGATTATGATGTATGTTTTGAAAATTTGTTTAAAAATTTTATGATCACATATGGCAATAAAGTCTTTTTTTTTGTTTTTTGTTTTTTTTTCTATATATATTGCATCAAGTACTATTTTAAATAGGACAAAACTTAAGTACAATTTTTTAGGTTTTAGTTCTTATTATTTTTTAATGAAAATATGATAAATATATTTAAATATTATTTATTGAGTAAAAATATAAGAAAAATTTACATATGTATAAAAGAAAATTATATATTTGTCATATTTTTATTACAAAATAGTAAAAACCACATCTAAAGAATTGTACATAAGTTTTGTCAATTTAAATATTGTTTTTATGTTTTTTTACATCTTTACCATTTAAATTTTATATATATATATATATATATATATATATATATATATATATATATATATATATATATATATATATATATATATATATATATATATATATATATATATATATCACCATCCTTCTCAGTCAGTCTCTCTCTGTTATGAATGCTGATTTAGCCCCGCAGTAGTTGCCCATCCTTCCGCTCAACCCTCCTCCACAAGAAACTCACTCAATTCAAATCACATTCATTTCTAAACAAGTGGATAATACCCTCTTCAAATCCTCTCCATTTTTCAACACATTTTCTTCTTAAACCTAACCCTATTTTTTCTCCTAAGAAAAATAAAACACCACCAAACTCTCAACCTAATCGAAAAAACCCCTTCAAAACAAAGTTCATATTTGCCTCTTTTCTCTCCAACGCGGTTTCTTCCTAACACTTTCATCTCTCTCAGAATACTGCAATAATCTTCATGGACTATTGTGTAAGAGAATTAGAAGGAAAACAAGCTCATGATCCTTTATTCATGAAGAAAATGAACAAAGATAAATCATCGTCCTCCTCGACCGATCTTCCTCGTCGCGTGTTTGTTCATGGACCTGTGATTGTAGGAGCAGGACCATCAGGTTTAGCAGCAGCAGCATGTCTCAAAGAAAAAAACATTCCATCCATAATTCTAGAAAGATCCAACTGCATAGCTTCATTATGGCAACTCAAAACCTACGACCGACTCCGTCTTCACCTCCCTAAACAATTCTGCGTCTTACCCTTCATGGAGTTCCCTTCAAACTTCCCTACCTACCCTTCAAAACAACAATTCATAAAATACCTCGAGAATTACGCAGAAAGGTTTCATATTACTCCAAAATTCAATGAGACAGTTCAACAAGCGGAATTCAATACTAAAACCGGTTGTTGGAAGGTGAAGAGTCTTAACAGTAAAGGCGATGTCACTACCGAGTATGTTTGTCGGTGGTTGATCGTTGCGACCGGAGAAAATGCCGAGGCTGTTGTGCCTAATATTGAAGGTGCAGATGAGTTTGAAGGAGTTATAAGACATACTAGTTTGTATAAAAGTGGTGAAGAGTTTAGAGGGAAAAGAGTTTTGGTTGTTGGTTGTGGAAATTCTGGTATGGAAGTTTGTTTGGATCTTTGTAACCATCATGCTACTCCTTCTCTTGTTGTTAGAGATTCAGTAAGTAAAAACTTTTCCATTTTTGAATTAATTATTAGTATTATTTTATGTGTTTTCAAAATGGTTTTTACAAAAATGAGAAGAAAAAACAAGTTTTTAGAGGTTTATGTCTCTCTTTATTTGGAGTTTTTGGTTTAATTTGATCAAGGAAAAAAGTTGTTTAGGAATTATAAGAGACACTCTCACTTTTTGATTTCTACTTCCTTTTTAATTGTTTTTTTTAAACTTTTTTCATAAAGAAAAATACTAAGCATATTTAATTGATTTCCATTTCTAACCAAGATAGTTCTTTTTTTTTCCCCCACTAAAACCATGTTTAATGTCTAAAGCTCTTTTTGTCATCAAGCAAGAAAATGAAATTTTGAACTTATTCTACAAATTCTTTTTTGTAAATTTTATCCAATTTTCGGTCATATTATTATAAATAAATTTAATTTTTTTTATTCATTTAATAATTGATGTATTTAGTTATATGTAATCTAGATACATCAATTATTGAATAATTTATTTTTTATTTATATAAAAGTGTATCTAGTATTAGAATTGACAAACTCTTGTAAAAATCGATTTAACACAATTTTAGAATTAACTGGATTCAAACTTGAGATTTTGAAAAGAAAATGTTTTAAAATCTTAAAATTTTACCAACATATCAAACTCTTTTGATTTTTAGTGTCACAAATTTTACATGAATCATAAAAGCAAAGCCTTTGTTTAATTCTTGCTATGCAAGCACCCATAGATTTCAAGTTCCAAAATGGATAGTTGAAAGAATAATAGTCAGGTTTACAAAACACAATATATTTCATGACTTGATTTTTGTTTCACTTTCTTGGAATCTCAAGCATGCGCAACATGGGCATAATATTGATAAATGTACTAAAAAAATATTCCTTTTCATTTTTCTCCAACTTTTTTTCAAAACCTTCTTTTTTCCACCACATCCCCATGATTTTTCAGTGTGTTTTTCCCCACATAGAGCATGGCCTAAGCCTGCAACAACATTAGGCAGCCAAAGTCCATGTACCTTTTGCCCCCACTTGATATGATATTGTTATTTAATTTACCATGGTTAATTTTGGTAAATGAAGGTACACGTTCTACCACGAGAGATGCTAGGAAAATCAACTTTTGGGTTGTCCATGTGGTTACTAAAGTGGTTTCCATTGAAACTTGTCGATCGATTCTTGCTCTTAGTCTCATGGCTTTTGCTTGGTGACACTTCTCAACTTGGTTTGGATCGTCCTACTTTGGGTCCCCTTCAACTCAAAAACCTCACGGGAAAAACTCCTGTCTTGGATGTGGGTACCCTTGCCAAGATTAAAGCTGGTCACATTAAGGTACTTTCGCATTCTTTAGTACTAGTACTTTTTTAGAGAGATTTTCATCGAGATTCGTCCGTGAAATGGTTCATCGTCAAGTCTAATGATATGTTTGGATTGATTGCGAGTTTGGCCAAATGGCCAAACTGCGAGTGAAATTAGTGTCATGCTATAATAATTTAAACTCTAATGATTACGTTAACTTTAACAATATCGATTTTTTTTTATTTGAATTAGAATTTAGAGATATTTATATATTGATTTATATGTATTTAAACTATATAAAGACTAGATTCGTCACTTATTTAATATATGTGAAAATATTTTTTTTTAAATTTATAATAGTGCTACTAAAATTGAAAATTTGATTATATGTAATGTGGCTATAGTAATAGTAGGTTGGGCAAATTTTTTTGTACTTTTTATTTAAATTATTTAATAAAAACTTTCTCTATGATGTTAGAATTAAAAAAAGTAATGGCGGTACCTAATTATTTCCTTTTTGCTTTTCAACAAGTGCAACATACATTTCCTCCTCTTTCTCTCTTTTTTATATATATAGTAAATTAATGAAATGGCTTCTTAACTTGTTCCCACCTCTTTTATTTTACTTGCCAAGATTTCCTCATCATTATGTGATTTAAAATCAAATCATGAACCAAAGCACAATTGGTTAAGTTTGATTTTTTAATTAAAAAGCTAATCAACAAAATATATTGGCTAATCATGATTTGAATCATGCCTGGTAGGCTTAATTACTTAATTAGTATTTTTAATTAGATTGTTGGTTGTCAAACTCAAATTTGATTTTGATATTAAATAAAAAAACTAAAAATGAGTTGATGTGTAGGTAAGGCCAAGCATAAAGAAGTTAAAACGTCATACAGTGGAATTTGTAGATGGAGGATCAGAGAATTTTGATGGCATCATATTGGCAACTGGTTACAAAAGTAATGTACCCTTATGGCTCAAGGTATGAATGCTTTCAAATATCAATTTATACAAATATATGATAATACACATCATAGAATATTCATCATACAAATATATTATAATAGTAATCAACTAGAATTTAATAAAATAAACACAATAAATTAACTAATATATGTGAAATGATTTAATGATTTAAATATATAAATGTGCAGGAAGAGGATATGTTTTCCATGAAAGATGGATTTCCTATGAAGCCATTTCCAAATGGGTGGAAAGGTAAAAATGGTCTCTATGCAGTAGGATTTACAAAAAGAGGACTATTAGGTGCATCAATGGATGCAAAAAGAATAGCTGATGACATTGAACAATGTTTAAGAGCTGAGGCAAAACATGGACCATAAAAATATTATATACTTCCAATTTTTCCATACAAAAGTTTGGTAATTTTGGCCAAGTGAGAGACAAAAAGGAGAAGGAATTGATCATTGAAAACAATTGATCATAATAATCATTGGTGTTTTGTCTTGGCTGATTCAGAAACATTCATTGAGGAAGAATATCTTGAATTGAAAGTTGGTTTGGTACATAAATAGATGGAAAGTGAGATATTTTTGGAGGTGTTAACTTTGCTTTAAAACATGTGTGTGTACAACGGCATTGTACCGAATTCGAAAATTTCAAATTCATGCATGGAAGAGAAGTGGGCAAAAAGCGAGAGGACAATTCGTAGTTTGGGATTGATCGGAAGATGTTGAAGAAATGAACAAATAAACTTATTGATGAAGACTTGAATTCTGAGAGTATATTCCTCTTAAGGTATTGGATTCAAATTTTGTCGGATACTAATAATTTTTGAGCTGGATCAGTTCATACAAAACTTTACTTTAAATGGAGTATCTGAAGACTATGATGACTCGAATGCGTGAATGTGAAGACGATGAAAGCCAAAGTTAATACTAGTGACTAATGAGGAAAAAACATTTCTTAATTTGGGATGAAGTGCAACATAGATTGTGCACCAATATTTATTACCAATTTCATGCAATTTCGTTGTTGAAATGATTTGTTTTTGCAAGTTGGAAATGAGGACCACTCCTTGTTTTCAGCTGAAATACAATAAAAGTTGTGCGTTTATTTGAAAAATACTGGCCACAGCCAGAAACCATTAAGTTGCAGGGAATTGCAGTAGAATTGTTGTTATGACATTTATTACATATTTTCTGTCCTCACCAACTTCATTCAATTAACACCGTTCATACGAATTTAAGCAAAATGAAATGAGTGAGACAAGTCATATTGTACCATTTGCCATCACAAATAATAATACAATAGCAACTCACTCTTTATTATTACTACAAGGTAGTGAGAATTTTGACTCATGAGTTGTCTTTGGAAGTTGCATGAATAGTGTGACACAAATTCTTAATGCTCACAACACTAAAAACCAAAAGTCTAATTTACAAGTAAGGATAGCATGCAGATTTTTTTACTGTTCTATTTGAAAATAAAGTCTCAAAATGCTACATATTGAAAACTTTTTTTCAAAATGTCATGTTTAATGAAATCGCTCAGTCATTCATTGAACCAACTCGTCCATCCATTAAACGAGCAGGTGAATATTAATATTTTTTATTTTAATGGTTTTTATTACTATTTTATAAATAATATTGTGTGTTTATTTGATACTCACGTCACTTTTCACTTATTTATTTATTTTATTCTTAAAGACTGCTTCTAATGTTTCTAAATCAAAATCAGAACCACAATAAAAATAAAAATATATTGTTTAAAATTTTTGTACATAGATTTCAAAATGCAATAATATTGCAATAATATTATTAAAAAATATTATATTTTTATTAAGTTAATTTTATTAATGTATTAGACGTAACAAAATAATAATTACAAAATGAAAAAATAATAATTATTACTAAATTAAAAAATAAAAATTACACTTATATTATAAATTTTGTTTAATAAAATAAGAGTTGTCAAGATTTAAAATAATGTGAAAAAACATTTTTAAAATTATGTTGCAATTGAACTTATAGTTAAAAATGAATGAATTTTGAATACATCAGTTTTATGTGATAAAAGAATCAATTTTATTAAAGTGTTTATTAGTTTACATTTTATATGTCATTTTTATTAGTACTAATTCAATCATGTCAGAATTAGGGAGTCCTTGTTAAAGATTCATGATTATTTTTTGTGTAGATGTTAAATTATTTCCATATGATTTCAAAACATAGTCACAATTGTTCAAATATTAAATTAAATTTGTTAAAATATTATATTAGATTAGATTTGATTAAATTTGATTAGATTTAATATTTAAATATAATTCAAGTTGTGTAGATTCAATATTAATTAGGATTGTATATAAATAATCTTAGTCTGTATCATTATTAGTACAATTCAATAATATAAATCCTTATTTCTTTTATTATTCCCTCTTTCTCTTCTCACTAAAGTGTCCCACACACTAACAAATTGATATCAGAGTTTCAAGTTATTGTTCTTGATCGAGTTTTCAAGAATTTCACGTCAGAGATCGTGTTTATAGGACAAGTGAATCAACCGCTGCGAGTATGGCTAGTGATATGGGCATTCTGAATTCTCTTCCAATACTTGACGGTAAGAATTGAATCCGATGGAAAAAACAAATGCAATCCTTGTTTGGCTTCCATGAAATCCTAGAAGTGGTTACCGACGACGTTCATGCGTTGGCTGCAAATACAACCGACGAACAGAAAAAACCCACAACGAAGTCAAGAAGAAAGATTGCAAGACTGCTTATTACATTCAGACGGCGGTCGATGCTGCTAATTTCGGCAGAATCTCTCATGCTGAAACGGTGAAGGAGGCATGGGATATTCTGGTGAAGTATTACGAAGGACGTGAGAAAGTCAAGGTTGTCAAGTTACAAACCTTGTGTAGATAATATGAGTTATTATCGATGGGAGAAGATGAAAAAGTTGCAGAATATGTGTCGAAGGTTCAAAAACTCGTTCTTCTCATGAAGGGTTGTGGTGAAACCATAACTGATAAGATGATACTTGAGAAGGTAATGAGAACGTCGACCTTTCACTTTGATCACGTTATCGTAGCTATTCAAGAATCCATCAATCTTAAAACCATTAAAGTGGAAGATTTGGTTGGTTCGTTGGAGGCGTATGAGATAAGGACTGTCAAAAGGAAGGGAGTGCAAGACTCGATACAGGCTCTGCAAGCTCAGTCATGGGAAAAGAATGGTGGTTCCAACAAATTCAAAGGCAAGTTCGACAAGACTCAGTGCAAGAAGTCTTAGTTAAAACCTCACAAACATCAGGCCAAAGATGGAGCTTTTGAATCCTCGAAAGGAGGAGGAAACTATCAAAACGACAAAGAAGATAAAAAAGGTGTGCAGTGCTATAACTGTGAAAAGTGGGTCACGTAGCTAAAAATTGTTGGTATAGAAAAGATAATGGATAGACAAGCAAAGACGAAGGAGCGAACCTTGCATGCCAAGATTCAGATGATTTTGAAGGTGGTATGATAGTTATGGCTGCAGTTGTAGATAACCATGTCGAATCCAAAATCTGGTTTCTCGACTCAGGCTGCTGGAACCACATGATTGGTTGAAAGGAGTGGTTGGCATATTTTGACGAGTCGAAGAAGAGCAAGGTAAAACTTGCTGATAATAGTTTGTTGTAAGTAAAAGGTACTGAAAATATAGTATTTCAAATGAGTAATGGAGGGAAAGCTATGATCAAAAATGTGCTTTATGTACCTGGAATGAAGTGTAACTTGCTAAGTGTTGGACAACTAGTCGAAAAAGGTTTCTCAGTTGTCATGAAAGATGGAGTTTTAAAATTGTTCGACACCAAGAACAATTTGGTCTTAAAATCTCTGTTGTCGAAGAACAAGACATTTAAGACTATGATCAGTTCGACTGAAGTTCAATGTTTGAAAACTGTCGTTGACAACAAGGATAGTTGGTTGTGGCATTTGAGGTCTGGACATTTGAATTTTCAATCACTCAATCAACTGACTACCCAAGATATGGTTACTGGAATTCCAAGTATTGAGATGCCTGAAAAACTTTGTGAAGGGGTTTTAGTAGGAAAGCAATATAGAAATTCTTTCGTTTTGACTATGCCAATGAGATCATCTTGCATACTTGAAGTGGTACATTCAGATGTATGTGGTCCATTCGAAGAACATATGATTGGTGCAAACATATATTTTGTTTCGTTTGTCAACGAGTTTAGTCGAAATTTGTGGATCTATGTGATCCAACGAAAGGACGAAGTATTCGAAATCTTTAAGAGATTCAAGATATTTGTCGAAAACCAGAGTGAGAAGAAGATCAAAGTTATGCAAACAGATGAAGGTGGCGAATACACATCCAAGATGTTTGAAGATTTCTGTGCAGAACATGGTGTTAATCATAAGGTAACTGCTCCTTATACACCTCAACATAATGGAATTGCTGAAAGAAGAAACATAACCATATTAGATATGGCGAGGTGCATGCTGAAGCAAAAGAATTTTCCAAAGTCTTTATGAGGAGAAGCTGTTACGACTGCAATTTATATTTTGAATAGGTGTCCTACAAAAGTATTGAAGAACAAAGTTTCTGAAGAAGTATGGAGTGACAAACGACCATCAGTGAGTCATTTGAAGGTGTTTGGCTCTATGTGTTACACGCATGTTCCTGATGTAAGAAGAAGGAAGCTTGATAGCAAGAGTGAACCTATGATTCTGGTAGAATATCATAAAACTGGTGCATACAGACAATTCAATCCAGTTAATGAGAAGATTGTGTTGAGTCGAGATATTGTGATTAATGAAAATTCTGTCTGGAATTAGAATTCTAGCAATTCAATTAACAAGTCATTGATGAGTTCTGATGTCGATGAAGAAACTAATGAAGTAGAGGTTGAAGGAATTGTTGAGAATCCAGTCGAAATCGAAGAAGAAGAAGTTGCTAACATTCCCGACACAGTCGAAGTCGAAGAGGTTGTGGCTGGAATAAGCCAAAGACCTCAAAGAAATATAGTTCTTCCAATAAGACTTCATGATTATGAAGTAGTGGGTGATGATGAAGTCACACCAGATGGAGAATTAGTTTATTTTGCTTTACGTGTAGATGTTGAACCAATTAACTATAGCGAAGCTTTGAAGACCAAACAGTGGAAGTTAATTATGGTCGAAGAGTTACATGCAATCGAAAGAAGCAACACATGAGAGTTAGTCGAATTTCCAGCACATACAAAAACTATCGAAGTAAAGTGGGTATTCAAGTTGAAACATAATATTGATGGCTCGATAGCAAGACATAAAGCAAGATTATTAGCTCGAGGGTTTCTTCAAAGAGAAGGACTCGACTACTCTGAAGTATTTGCTCCAGTAGCAA